ATATAAATAAATATGATAGTCAAATATAGAGAAGACTAAATAGGTACACATGTATTTAAAAAGTAATAACCAAATTATTTATTTAAAATGATACATACATAAAAGTAAGCATTAATAACAACTCATGCTTAATTAACAAATATTATTGAAGTCAGATAAATATATTCATATATATATTATTATTAGTACTATAAAATAAGTTTATAAATTTTATGTTTATTTCAGAAATAATAAAAAGAGAAACATGTCTCCAAAATAAATATATAAATAATTTATATAAAAAAAATTAATTTACAAGAAATATTTAAATATGTATGTATATGTAAATTTACATAGAAAATTAAATTCAAGTCAAATAAAAATAGATATATGTTAATGAATTACTTATAAAAATCTTTACATAAAAATCAAACAAGCAAATAACATTTTTTAGATTTTTAAAAATATATTTAAAATGCAGTCAAGCCTAATTAAATAAGTGCTTAAATACTTAAGCAGATTTATTTTGGAAGTATGTATCTTGGCTAGACAATATTCCATACAAATTTTAAGACTTTTAAAAATATATTTAAAATGCAGTCAAGCTAAATTAAACAAGTGCTTAAATACTTAAGCAGATTTATTTTGGAAATATATATCTTGGCTAGACAATATTCCATAAAGTTGGTCGAGTCATTACCTGTAAGCCAATAAGTCTTCAAGACGGCTGCTGTTTGTCTGCCATTTGGCCATTTTGGGAGACAAAACGCTAACGGCAAACTAAAAAGTTATTGCTTAAGAATTAGTTGTTCTCAGCTTGTTCAAAATGTTCTGTGTCTGTGTCTGTGTGTGTGCTAGTGTGTGTGTGTTTATGTGGGCGAGCTGAAGTGTTTGAGCGAGAGGGAGAACTTTTAATGACATGCTTTGTATGCGAGCGCGTGTTACATGTTAGCCACATTATCTGAGCAGCTAGCGACAACTTTTCGAGTACGAGCTGTAGATGGCGCCACACTAGCCTGCCCCCCCCACACACAGACAGCGGCTTACGCTGGCTTTGTTGGCTGGCCTGCAACGTGTCCAAGTTTGTTTTTGTGCTATTGCCAGCCATCGCATCGCATCGCATCGTGTCGTGTCGTGTCGTGTCGTCGTCCTTTAGCTAATACTTTTCGCTGCACATGGCACATGTTTCTCAGCAGCTCTCGAGCATCGAGCATTGAGCAGCCCACATCCTTTCACATTCTCATACACAACTAATACGAATTTCACTTAATTGCACTCGAAAAACTATGCATGTGAATTGCACTCAGCTCGACTGGCAAGTGCGGCTAGGTTGGCTGGGACTTCTTGGGCCATGGGATGGCTCGTTTCGGTGGTGTTTGCTGCTGGGTCTAAGTTTGGATTTGGCTCTAGCCGGGTGCGCCATCAGTTTTCGCTTTCAGTGCAGGCAGACACTTTTTGACAGAGCGTCGGACGCACACGACGACCGCAAACGACATCTCCAGGGTCTGAGTGGGTTAGAAAAAGTTTTCCGTTGCTGGCTTGGGTTTCCAGATTAAGCCCCCGCCTCTGCCTGCTGTTGAGCGTAGCTCACGCATAAGCGGCACATGAGGCAGGGAGAGCTGCAGACATCCTTTAGGCAGCCGCAAGCTAATGAGTACAACTTTTTTCTTTCACCTTCACAGCTTTTTATTTCTCTTTCGTTTTGCTTGTTGTCTAGTGTTGAACTTTTCATGCACTTGTTTCAAGCATTTCCAGACCAGCCCTGCCCAGCCCAGCGCAGCCCAGGCCCGCAGGTGAAATGGCAAAGTGGAAAAACTGGGCGGATCCAACTTAAATGAAAACTTCTTGAATAGAACAATGCGGCGTGCAAAAAAGAGGAGTTAACGCCATAACAAAAACTATGCTCCGTTGGATGGTGTAATGATAGCCAAATTGATTAAGTTCCTGTTCCTGTTGCCTCGCTGCCATTGTCCGCCTTTAAGCTGAACGATAGAAATCCCCTTTTAATTAAATTTCTTAAAAGCCTAAAAACTAAATCTATAAATCAAAGAGAAGGCAAACCAGTTTAAAAACTTTCTGATAATCTCTCAAGCATTCGATGATTTTACACCTTCAGCCGAATTTAATTCAGATTCAATTCTTTTTTTTTCTCTCTGTCAGCTACTCGTGAGGAAATTATCCTGAGGCGTGAATTCCTCCAGCAGGACGAGGCAACAAAAGGTCTGTCATAAACTGTTGCACTACTTTGAGGGTCAGGCAGAGGCGGAAGAGGGGCGGGGCCAGAAAGAGCCTTTTAAACTCTGAGTAACCTTCTTTTGCACTCGCCTCTCACGCATTCCATTAAGGTCACTTTGCCGGCGCTGGGCGGGGCGGGGCGGGGCGGGGCGGTGCGAACTAAAGTGTGCCTAGTGAGCTGAGCCAACCCGGCCCCAGGCTGAATGTTACTTGTCAACATCTGCAAATAAATAGAGCGGGAGAGAGACAGAGACAGAGGCAGAGGCAGTTGACTGAGGAGAGTGTGAGGGGGAGGGAGTGGCAGTGTGTGGGGCAGTTAAAGATAAATTGAAATTTATGAAGCAGACCTGGGAAGTCAAATGCCAACACCAAACTAACCGACAAAACATTTCAGCACTTAAATGCTACTAAGTAATTTATAAGCCACAAAAGTATTGCATTAGCCGCACAAATGATATAGCATCCGATATACGTAGAAGTCTGCGTACAGAACGTCCGGCAAGCACTTTAGCTTTAATTTAAACAGCATAAGTGCGAAATAAAATATAATACAAAGAAAATTGACATACGAATTGCGTATACGCTAAGTAACTGCAATTTGTTGTCCGAAATTTGTTGCCCTAAACTGTATTACTGAAAATATATATATCGTCAAGATAGTGCATCTTTTTTATTCTCTGTAAATCCGGAATAGTTTCTATATTATTCGACCTATAATAATTTTGTTTTTCGATTACATCTCGGTTCATCAGTTACCAAATTAGAAAAATGAATATATTTCGGGGCAAACATTTGTTTTAGAAAGATATGTAAGGTAAAATATGTATATATACAAATATTTATTTAATATGTGAAGTATAAAAT